CACTTTAAGGATATTTATTTACTATCTCCATAGATTTATAAACATGATTAAGACATTTCCATGGGACATTTCCCATCCCTTCCCTTGAGTGTTTTAACATTTAAGTTGTGAACATTGAGAGCCTATAGTTAATTGACTAAGGTCAATGGGGTGGTGGTTCCTTTCCACTACATGCAATTCAGAACCCACAAGATAGGGATGTTTTCTTTCTTAGCTCTTGTAAAGATGATTTTAATTAACATATATTTTGGAACATTCTATGTAAAAATATCTAGAATGTTGAAAAATACAAAGGACTAGGAATTTTGTAGTCAATAAGCCGAGAGAAAGGTTTTATAGCTTTTACTTTCCTAACATCTATTCACGGCCAGTCATTCTTCACATTTATATTCTTCTGAATTTTATGCTGCATAATGCTACTGGGAAGACTGTGTTTATTATTCTGACATGATTCTTTGTGAAATAGGTGCTTGATAAGGATTATTTTTAAAAGACCAAAAGCCCCTCAAGCGATTACTCTCTCAAACTTCTTGTAAAGGGGGACAGATAGTGATCCTCGTCATCACTGAAGGCAAGTCGAGAATGTTCCAGTGTCTTAAATGCTTGCATGTTACACAATGTCATCAAAATTTTTTTTTGCTAAGATGAAAAATTAGATTCTTGTTTCTACCTGAGGCCTGTTGCCGGTTGTTCTTTAGAACATTTAGTCACATTTCAAATAGCACAGTAAATTTTCTGGTCATTCCTATGTATTTGGATCACTAAAGAATGTAGAAGCTTATAAAAATTACAAACAAAATTATTTTTTTATGCTGCTTCTTGTTAAAAATGAAAGTGTTTGAAAATACAGATGGAAATTTAATTTTCAAACCTTCTTAATGGTATGGATACACACATAAAACATATGAAACATTTCCTATTAAAGGGATTCAAGGATGCGTATTTCACTATTTCAGATTATACAATAAAATTATTATCTTTTTACACAATACTCTTCATTTCCCCACCTCATCAAATTAAGTTGTTTCATTATAGGAAACCAAGTTTTTAAGATTGGGATTTTGGTAGAGAGGTTGTTAGCTCCACAACTTTTGCACACAAGTGAAATGTTATTTGAAATATGTGTTTCACTTTTTTTGACTATTCTGAAAGTGAAAAAACAAAAAAGGAACCCAAAAGAAAATCTCACAATGAAAACCGTATAGCAATTATGGTTCTTGCAAGTGCTAGTTTAAAAAGCTTTATGTAAAGCTTCCAGATTTTTTTGTGATAAACAGAAATCAATATAATTTATTCATATCACAGTTTTCTAAAAAATGTTTACTAGTTCTTTTCTAATTCATACCCTGCCATCACTTTGTTTTTATATATGTTCCTTTCAAAAGATCTGCCAAACATAAATAGCAGCAATTACAGAGCAGGGTTATTTCTGAAGAAAAAATGATCATCAGTTGTATTTTCATCAGCTGTCCTATTAGACTCCATCATTAAGGAAAGCATTCAGGACGTCTAGTGGGTGAAGAGAGCAGAAGTGTGTTTTCATTTTGATATGATAGCTGCATTCAAGTTATTCTCCTCTTAACAATAGATTTTACCTAGCTTTATCTTCATAGGAAGCTGCTTTCATTTGAAAAGCAGAAGTGAATAGAAGTGTCATGACATGGGATTAACAGTACAACCGGTTAGTAAATCAAATGTTTGAGGTGAAGAAAGTGGAATGTGACATGCATCAGCAGGATGGACGGGCAGGATTTTATGGGACAAGTGAAAAGAAAAATTGTAATCATTGGTCAATGCTCCTGATATCTATACCATTTTGAAAACACGTGGACAGTTTAACCAATCAGTCACTGTGATGAATCTGAGTGCATTAAGATGTTCCCAGAAATGTTCGTTCATATAAAAGTAATAAACATAGAAAAAACTAGTCCAAATGCTGTTTCCAGATAATAAAAAAAAAGAAGAAGGAAAATTTCACCCTAAGACTGAGAATATAGCCAGTGTGGTTCACTTTTGAGACGGCGGTAAGTCTGCAAGAAACCTCATGGTGGGTTTACCTCATGACACTCTCATTATAGTCACTGACAAGCTTTTAAAAAGAACCTTCTCAAATACTGCCAATTACATAGATTTAATATAGTACTCATAATTAAGATTTTAGTGTTTCAAGAGTGTTTGCCCAGTGTTTTAAGCAGATATAAGCAAGTTATTTGGAGCACTTAAAAATGCATGTTTCAGCCAGGCGTGGTGGCTTATGCCTGTAATCCCAGCACTTTGGGAAGCTGAGGTGGGTGGATCACGAGGTCAGGAGATTGAGACCATCCTGACTAACATGGTGAAACCCCATCTCTACTAAAAATACAAAAAATCAGCTGGGTTTGGTGGCGTCCACCTGTAGTCCCAGCTACTCAGGAGGCTGACGCAGGAGAATTGCTTGAACCCGGGAGGCAGAAGTTGCAGTGAGCCAAGATCATGCCACTGCACTCCAGCCTGAGTGACAGAGCAAGACTCTGTCTCAAAAAAAAAGAAGAAGCATGTTTGAGCACAATCATGGATTTCTTCTCTTCTTCTGGTAAGTAGCTTCACAAATATGTAAAAACTTAAGTTAAAATTCGTAATGCTTAAAGATTTATCTGAGTAGCTTGGGTGAGTAGCTAAAAGGTTAATTTAAAGGCTTAGTAAAGAATACTTCCCATTGTCATCAGTGTCTTCACGTGAAAATATGTTTAAATTCCACATAGTCTGGCATTCACTCCATAACTCCATATTTTCTGGTCTCCATTTTTTCACAACACAAGTTTCCTCTAAGAATAGAGTTAAAACTTTTACATGCCTAATATTTACTTAAAACTTTGTCTAAAAAAAAAGAATTCACACAAAAAAAGCCCATTAAATATTCACACTTTAATATATGTTCCTTAGAAACAAATGTACAGTTAGATAACACATAAAGAATTATGAATGACTAATTATATTTTGCATATTTACAGCAAAGACAATTAGCAAATACCTTTTATATGCAAAATAAATGAAAAAGTAATTAAGATGCACTAACCAGAGCAGTAATATCAAGTCTGTTGTCTTGTGATTCATTCCTAACAAACATAATAATTATGCATTCATTGTCATATAATTAAAACAGCTCTGTCCTTTAGAAAAATGGTTATTTACTGTATAATAACCTGAAGAGTGGCAGAAGTTCCTCATAATGGTGAGCAGGATAATTAAATATTTCTTCTTAGGAAGTGCTCACCCAGTTTAGTTTATTACCATAAACTTCTAACAGCAAGCAGCTGTTCCTCAGGAATGCCAAGTGTTTTCTCTCTGGTCTGGGAAAGTTATTTTCCATTTTGTTCATTGGCTCTCATTTTGTTCCTTGCTGTTGGATTGGGCAAGGGTGCTCTTGAGGCACCCTTCACCTTCCTGAGGCTGGTCCTCCTAGAGGCCATCCCTGGCTGCAGAGGGCTGTGGGAAACAGCTTCAAGACCCAGTTCTGTGGCTAGATCTGCTTTCCGTGATAAAAATGTATTACGTTTGCCTCTCTGCTGAAATATATTCTCTTTTTGAAGACCTTCTAGGACTTCTTCATCACTAAGACATAAATGTGCAAATAAATAAATGAATTTCAGTAACATCCAGTGTTTATCATGTTAAGTAAGCAACCTGCATTTTAGAAATATAGCAATAAATTCCAAAATGATCAACACATTTGATATTTCAGCTACTTAGAGTGATGTAACTGTCCTCTGCATTCCCCACAAATAGACCATAGAAGTCATTTTGTTTCCCCAAAACTGAGAACGTGTCAACATTTGTGCCCAGCAGTTGTATCATCACCTCTTGCTCACACCTAATATAAACACAGCACCTACAGAAGTACATGATTTAGTGCAACCAGAAATTACTCAAGCAGGAGATAGACATTATTTTGTGTGTTATCTAATATTGATACTATTGTCATCATGTATATATACTCAACAAAATTAGCTTATTTTTATAATAAAATCATGTGTCCAATGTACTGGAGAGTGCAAAGGTAACTGAGAAGATAAGTATTTGTTTCTGAGTTACTACTTGCTTTAAAAATATAATGGCAACTTTAAAAATTATTATACGTAATACCTTAGATATTAGGGAAGGATATATTTTAAGTAGAAAAAAGTATTGAATTATTAATTAAAATATTTCTTATTAAATGTATTTTATGTGAAATAATGCAATATCTAAATTTTAAGACTTTTTTATTTTATATATTCCATAATTTATAGTAACATTAAATGTAATCCTCAACCTCAGAGAGTAAGAAAATAAATGATTTGGGTTAGGGTTTATCATTTGACTTTATTAAATATTGACAACTAATTATTTCAGCAATTACTGAGCTACCATTCCTTTCTTTATTAAGTTCAGTAAACAAGTAATAGACAGTAAGCACAACATTGTCTTTTGTATAATTTTTTTCAAGAAGAATCTTTATTTTGTTCCTTTTTTGATGTGTAATTTAAATAAAGAGTCATGGCCTTATTTGAAACAGTTTACTCAGAATCATTTAGATATTTCCTAAGTATTCTTCACTCTAAGCTCCTTTTGGCATTTGATAAAATGAAAATGGACCAAGGAGAACCTAGAGAGAAAATACATATTCCTTATTCCTGTGTTACATTTGGGAGAATTTAAATAGACCTCAGAGTTCTGAAAAGAAATAATTGCCCTGAAGTAAAACTGGTTAGGATGTTATTAGAGACCCTCTATGCTAGCAACAGAATTTGGGGAAATAGAACAAAAATAGAACTTGAATTCATAGCAGGACATTCAGATAGCAAATTTGTTAGTAAAGGGTAGAAGAGACAAACAGCCCCATCTTAGACTCTGATGCAAAAATGGTGTAGGGTTACCCATTATTAGCACACCAGCATACCAGGAAACATAAGAGAAAATATTTTAGATTCTATCTTAAAACTTTAAGAAATCCTAGGAATCTCAAATTAATTCTAAGTAGTCATGATGGGAAAAAATTATATCTTTACTTCTCCTCACATGTTCATGGTTTAGGATTGTTTTCATTTTTTTGTTACTCGGGCAGCAGAGGTGGCAAGGAACACCACAGTTTTGTTTTTCTTTTTCCCAGCTCTTAGTTCTTATTAAAGGTTTTCATGTAACCATATATACATATGTATTTTACCTAATTTAAATTCCTACTAAGTATGTCAGTAATCTTCCATTTCGCAACTTTAAAGAATAGGGCTATTCACCATTATCCAGGAATATCAGTTTATATATCTGCTATGACAGACAGTAAAGATGATCAAACATTACACTAACTCTTAATAATGAGCTTGTTTCTCTCTTCAAGGAACAAAGCTCATAAGGGTGGGAGATGAGAAGGGCCAAAAGGTGAATGTATGCACCTGTGTGTGTGCCTCTTGTCGTCTTTCCTTCCCAGAGTACGTACTTCCCAGCAAAATGGGAGGTAGGAAGACTAAGCGTCAACTTTCAGGTGATCCGCTTTGACCACATCATGAAACCTATAAAATTTACAATTCATTTTGTAGTTGCCGACTCTACCCTTCAATCTGGAGTCTAGTCATCCACCTTGCATTAATTGTTCTATGTAGGCATATCACGTGCACCCAGCCAGACTACTGAATGGAAGATCCTGAGAGGCAGAGGCAGCGCCTCTTTCCTGGTGTAAGAATTCCACACAGTATATGAGATGTGGCAGTTGCTTGATAGATGCTGTTGAATGAAGACTTCCATCACACGTTCAACAGACACACACCAAAGGGTCTTTGCCCCTTATGAAAATAGCGTCAAAGAAGAAATATACTTCCATCTTTGTGTTATTTATCTCCTACCCTCCTCTGCTTCCCTCTCCTATATACATTTTCAGTTTCCATGTATCTTACTAAAATACATATAACTTCAGCTATATATTTTGTTATGTTATGATGCATATGCAGTAGAGCCTCCATCAATAGTCATGAAATGACTAATGGTAATGGCAGGTCATTGAGTGAATGAATGATATAAATATGAGTGGAATGTGCATGTGGAGGGCAGAAATACATCTGCCAGCAGATGTAAATGTCAGTTACTCTGTCTCAGCCCTGGCTTATGTGAAACTTAGTTTGGTCATCAATGTCATGGCACTTTGAATGCTTACATACTAAGCCCGTGAATCCTCCCTACGTGTGTATTTTTTAAAATAAATGCTCCGTATTTAGGGATGGAAGATAAGGGGAAGATTGAAAAACTAACTGTTCTGCTGCTTCAGGTGCATCCCTTCCATTTGAAACTCCCTTTGGCTCTTGGGCCAGACGGTGTTGATTGTCAATGTAGAGGGTTCTCTGTTCTCCCAAAGGGCTGAGGTAAAGCTATATGTACTACATACTTTGAATCACCATCAACCCCCTGTATGCAGTCCAAACAATTATACTGCAGAAAAGAGGCCAGTTTACTACAAAGAGGCCAAGCTAAATGGAAGTATTTCAAAATGTTAGTCTTATTACAGAAATTTATTTATAGAGACTTTTCTTCCTTCTTTCCCAGGAACTTTACTGAAATGTAACATAAATATACTCATAACTCTAATATTTACCTATAAGTCTAATAAGCTAGGGAAGTAAAAGACTTTTATAAGGCTGGTATTCAAAAGCAGATCAAAAAGAAAGATCCTAGGTAAAGGTAATGAAAATCATCTCAAAGTACATTATTATCCATTTCCCAGTAAGACTTAGTAAGATAGATGTTGTTCTAGAACTCAGAAACATGAGCATTTTTATTGCTTACAGCCTTCATTTCTGACTACTAGTTTTCACTGGATTAATGGATCTCCTGAGGAATGAATATGAGCAAATGTACAGTAAAAGAAATTCCATTTATAAACCCCAAATTATGCCACATGATAGAAAATCGGCCTTAGAGTCAAGCTGGCCTAGAATGCTTACGTGTAAGACAGATGAGTCTTAGAGATTACATATAAAATCTTCACTGTCTTCTTTGTCCAGTCAGTCAACAAGCATCTTCTGAAGCCGCCCAACCTCGGTGTCTTAAGACTTTCCTGAAAGTTTGATTAATTTGAAAAACAACAGTCAAGTAAACTCCAGAAACGTTACTATTCGAGTACAAACAAAAACTGTCAAACTAGAATGCTGATATGAGATCGAGTTAATATACTGAAATTAAATACAGACCTTTTCATTTTTAAAAAAATTTTACATGTGTGTTTGTTTTTGGTGGATGAAATCACTCTCAGACACAATTGGTGAATAACCCAGGGGGAATGTAAGTGAGTTTCCCATTACGATTGTGGATGCTATGGGCCCGTCAAGATTTAATAAGGGGCTCCATGTTGCGTTGTCTCAAACTCCTTAAATGCCTAGGTTCTGAGATTGACTCCTTCCTGTTCCTCATTTGTGTCCCACATCCAGGGGACATGGCAGAAAGAACCTGAATTCATCATGAGAAAGGAACCCATCATGAGGAAGCAACCTTTGAAAGCAGCCACCAGGCAAGGGGCATCTGAGGTGGGCACTGCAAGCATGTTCAAGAAAACACCTCTTCTGCCAGCAAGAAGCGCCCCTGCCCAGTGGAGGATGAATCAAATTCCACCATCTTTAATCTGGCTACACCATATTTGGATAATAATCCTGAAATTCACATTGATGCTGAAGAAGTCGCTTCTTCAAAACTTTAAGGCAACAATTAAGTATTCCATTGTCATGGCTCAATTAAATGGTTTGGCCTGAGAAAATTGGGGATTGTAAAGTGAGGATGGAATGTGCTTTGATCCTTTTTCCAGGGTTATTGTTTCATTAATAAATGAACATGTCATTTGTCTCACCAGAGGGAGCTCATGCCCTCCAGGCTTTTTTCCCTTTTTTGTTCAGGTTTTATAAAGATGAATTTCCAGTGCTCTGAAATACCATGGATTAGTAGTTAAGCCTGACAGCACTTCGGGGAGTAGCGAGCTTAAAGTGCCTCACACAGGTCTCCAAAGCACTTGTTTACTAATAGAGGAAATCAGCAACCGTCTGCAGCTGCTGATATCGCATTACCATTTGGAAAGACAGTAGCTGAGATAACAAATCACACAGTTTTAATAATTACTCCTGCATTCCCGTTTTTTGTTTCCTGCATAACTGTAAAGGCTGGATTTCTTCCAAATAAACAGATAAAAACAGTATGGAACTTTTATCTTTTAATGATAATGACAACACATCATGTTTCACTAAAAGTTTCCTGCTAAATTTTTTCTGATTTCTAGAGTTTCAATAAAATGTAATTATACTTTATAATTCCATTCTTTTAATCTTCACTTCAAAAACTATTCACAGTGAGCAAGTTTGCCAGGCACCAAGAGTAGGGGCCAAACTGCTTGGACTTACCCATGTTGACTATCTCCTGCTTTCTGTCTTGGAGTAAACCTGTCATTGAAATTGCATCCTGTACATTGAGCTGCTTTGCATTCAAATTAATAGCTAGTTTAATTTGAATGTAAAATAGCTACATTTATGCCATCATTAAAAAAAAAGAAGTAAGGCATTTGGCAATGAATGGATGTTTAAGATATGATACATTTGCAACATATTTTTAATCCCAAATTGAACTTTTATTAGGATGGGGACATTTTAATATCAATAGTTAAGTCATAAAAGAAGCCCTTTTAAAAATCTGCATAGTAAATATGTGCTTTGGGGGTCAAAACTACTCCATTGTACAGATACAGTACAGGGTTTAGTTCGTATGGTTGGTACTGGGTATTTTCCGGCAAATCTGTGCATTGTTACATTTCTATAGTCCAAGATAGCAATTGATTTTTAAAACACATGCTGCAACTTTATTTGCTCTGTAATTACATGGACTTTATTTGGAGGTCAGCGAAGGAACAACTAAATAGGAAAATGAAGTCTTCCTCCCTTGTGCAATGAAACCATAAAAGTTGGCAGACAGAAAGGAATGCTAAACTTTTTCCCAGAGCTCTGAGTTTGGTTTCCACTGGTCCATGTTCCATTGGGTGATTAGAGAAAGCTTTTTTAAAGCCTTACTTCAGAATGATCTTAATTGGTGCAAGGTTGAGCCCTTTCTAGGAGGGGAGGGAAAAGGTTGAATAGCCTTTTCAAGTCACATGAAAGTTTCTAGGATGAATGTACGATAATTAGATTAATAAGTAGCTTAATTTATCACAGCTGAGGATTTCAACAGCCACACATTAGAGGAAGAAAAAAAGATTAGTGTGATTCCAGTTTGTAAAAAAAAAAAAAAAAAAATTGTACTGAAACTTGATTAACCTTAAACACAAAGTGCCTTTCTTTCTGTCTAAATGTCTAACCGGGGGGAGGGGTATGGAGTGGGCAAGTCAGGGAGAGGACCTGAAATCATCAAAAAAAAGTCCTATTTTATTCCTTTTTGTCTCCCAGTTAATGAGCAGTATCAGGATGCCTTGAACCAACTTTTCTTTTTCCATTTCTTATCCTTAAAATGATGGACTGACCAGAAGCCTGCAGAATCTTAAATTATGTTGCCCGCCCACATCATAGAGATCTGTCTTTTCTGATGTACAATTTATCATAAGCGGGGTCACTCGTCTCCGTTGAGAAAAAGAAAGGGAGTGCAATTGGGAGGACACCATAAGTTTGGTTAGTCTGCAGCAGGAACATTGAGGATGAGCTTGTTGGATGACATCTCCAGTTATCTCAAGGCTGAAAAGTCTGAATTTAGACCCATGCCTTCAAAACTCATAAGTTGCCCAAATAAGGGCAGCAGTGACTTGAGATGAACAGTATTCATTGATAAAACATGCAAAACCAAGGTGGTTATTATAACAGCAAGAATAATTGATTTCAACAAGGTTTAAAAAGTCAGATGAGAACTGACACTCAAAAAAAAAAAAAAAAAAAAAAGACATCAATTCAAATTATCCTCCATTGGGATTCTTTTTTTCCATCTTCTTCATAAGGGCACAAAAAGGAGAATCTGCTGGACCATCTGATGATCTGATCATCAGGGTGGGCTAATGTCAGATTTGATTAACTAACCTTAAACTTCCTGACTTCTGTCTGGCTAAAAACAAAACTGCAGTGTGGCGTGGAACAAAGCTGCTGGCATCAGTGTCGTTTTGCTATGGAAGAGCCTGGAGCGTGAATCTCTGGTACCTGTCAACACTTAACAGTCATCGTGGTTGGGAGGCCGGCTAATGCGAACCCAGCGGTGGAGCAGGGTTTTGGGCACTGCCCATGTGCCTTCATGGAAAAGGTGTGTGGCTGGATGTCGGTAGGCAGCTATGACACCCTCCAAGGGAAGGTGTCATAGGGAAAAATCCAAAGCTGAAACACCAGACAACTTCAGGGACACCAACATTTGCACAACAAAAATTGTATGTTTCTCTTCAGTCTCCGAAGCTTACATAGAAGCATCCTGAAAGAGGTTTGGGTGTGGTCTGTGCACACAGTCCCACCTACAACATTGGGAAGTTACCTGTGGCCCAGCCAGAGCTACCAAGGCAAGGCCAAGGGCACTTGTACACCAGCCTGTTTGATAAGTTCAGTAACTTGAAGCAGCACCAGAGGTGAATCTGTTTCCACTGCTAGAAAATCTTCTCTCAGAGCATAAGTCTTCTCTTCTGCTGGGATAAAAGGGATGCTTTCAATTTTTTAAAAGAATCACATAATGAAAAATAACATATTGTAGAGAAAACATACTGTAGTTTAAAATGTTGCAATTTTCAAACATTAGTGTAATTACAGACCCTGAATAAAGTTGGAAAGCTAAGGCACACTGCAGCCAGCAGCCCAAACCTGTAAGTATGCTTATAATCTAAAATGGATATCTCATTACTGGTTAACATTATTTATTTAGGGGGAGATATGACCTCTAATTTGCCTTTAAATGATTAATTTGGTGTTTAAATAAGTGCCTTTTACTTAATAATGTTTTCTTCAACCAATTCACTTATGTCAATAAACTCTTTGTTTAACCTTCTTAAAGGAAACATTTTCTCTGCTCCAAGGCAATTAATGAGCTATCAAATAAATAGGTACAGGAAAATGAACTAAAATTAAGGACTGCCCAAGACAGCCAAAATGCTTTCATCTGTGGAGTGGATACTGTGGGTTCCTGTTAACCATGACACAGGAAGAACATCAGTCCATTCCTGACCCTCCCCCGAGTCTCCTTTCTGTCTTTAGTTCACAGAGAAGGCAACTCTCACTATAGGACCTACCGAAAAGGTAACAGCCCATCCGCAATTCGAGGCACTTCTCTCTTGGCTGCTGGTTCTTTAAGTTTGGTAAAAACAATGAGAAATCTTCAAGTTGGGAATGGGTTGCCACTTTTTCCTGGGAAATTAACGGGAAATAAAAATATATGCAATACTAATATGAAATATTAATATCAATAATATCAATGTTAATATCAAAGTGTCCAAAAGCATCTTCTGCAGTCTTAGGGCATAAAACTGGATCATGTATAACTCAGTTGCTTATTTTGCAGGTAACTTGTTTTCAAATATCGTTTTTCCTGATAATTATATATGAAATTGGATGAATTTGGCTTTTTTGTTTAATTAATAGAACCAAAAGCTGACAAATGTTGTTTAGCTCTCTGTAGTATGTATAAACTTTTTTTTTTTTTTACGGAAATGGGGTCTCACTACATTGCCCAGACTAGACTCAAACTCCTGGGCTCAAGTGATCCTCTTACTTCAGCCTCCAGGATAGCTGGGATTACAGGTATGTGCCACTGTGCCTGGCTAAAAAGAATTTTTTAAAAAAATTTGACTAGTAATAACCATCAACATTATTTTTAAATTTGGAATTTTTTTCTAATAAAAGTAAATGAACCACCAAATTTGCTCATTCTGGGAAGAGGAGTGTACTGAGTGTGGCAGAGGGTGCCAGCCAGCCCCTCATAATCAACACCCCCCTTTTTTTATAGTCATAGACTTTTGACCTAGGGCACTCAGCCAACCAAAACATAGACGACACTTCCAAGCCTCCTTAACTGCTGACTGTAGTCATAAGACTAAGCTCTGGCCAAGGTGGACTGAGCGAAAGCGTGTGCTCAACCAACTGGCTGTATCCTTAAAAGGCAAGTCATCTTTTCCTCCTCTTCCTCTCACATCACAATAGAAAGAACCTTTGACAGCGTCTGGAACAGAGCTGCCATCCCAGCTCAAACTTTCATGAGAGAGAGAAATAAGCTTCCGTCTAAAGCTAAACCTTTATCCTAACTAATACACTGACATAAAAGCCGTAACATCAATTAAACTTTGTGCTTCAAGTGCCACACTTAGCTAGTTAATATGTCTCTCTCTCTCTCTTTATCTATGAATATTAGTAGTTTCTGCTTTTTAGACTACTCTTCCTAAAATGCAGCTCTGATTGAGAATTATTCAAAACCTTTTGGATAGTTCCCATTTGTCTCCTGAATTAGGGAGTCCCTAACATGACATTCACTCTTCCCGTTTCTCCAGCCTTGGCAACAGTTCTCTTCCACACACATCTCCCTACCTCTCCAGTCACACCAGACGGTGGCAATTTGGAGGCCATGCTTGTCCTTCCTCTTTGCCTGTACAAATCCTATCCACCCTGGATTTTTTTTTTAATATGTGTGTTTTTGTTTTGTTTTGTTTTAAGGTGGGCTTTGAGCTGGGCGTGGTGGTGTGCACCTGTAGTCCCAGCTACTTGGGAGGCTGAGGTGGGAGGATCATTTGAGCCCAGGAGTTTGAGGCTGCACTCCAGCCTGAGTGACAGAGCAAGCCCCAACCTCTAAAAAAAATTTCATTTAATTAAAAATAATTGAAGGCTTTGGAGTCAAATAGGCCTGGTTGGAAGCGATGCTTAGTCACTGCTGGTTCCCCTCATTACTACACCCCACATGATACCCTCTAACATTCCTTCACAGCACTTCCCACAGACTGTTGATGCACATTTGATTACCATCTGCTCACCCATTAGATCTCAAACTCCACATGGGCAAGGATGATGTCTGTTTTGTCTCAGTATTTTATCTCTGAGGGTAGCGTAATGCCTAGCATTTGGTAGGTTATCTAAATATTTGTTGAGTGAATGAACAAACATCTCTAAATCTATTTTCTATCTATTAAATGAGTTAATATCACCTCATTCACAGGGTTGTGAATGAAATGAGATAATGTGTGTCAAATGATGTGTACGCATAAGTACCAAATAAATAGGAGGCAATATTGTGCAGTGACTTACTACACAAACTTTGGAGTTAGACCTATCTGGTATGGCTTCAGTCATGTGTTCGTTATATGACACTGGACAAGTTATTTATCTTTTATGAGGCTCCATTTCTTCCTCTATAAAACTTATCATAAATGGATCTGGTATCATTCTTGAATATATTAAATTTGATGGGCTCTGTGCTTACCGCAGTGTTGTTACCTAACAGGCATCTGGTAATGGGATCTACTGTATGGGTCACTCATCTGACCATTCATTTGTTGATTCAACAGATTTTTATCGACTACATACTAAGTATCACAAACTGAGCTTTGTACTGGGAATAAAATGGGGAACAAATCGGAGGGGGCCATAGGCTACACCTCACGGAATCTAAAGCCTAGACCATCATATAAATAAACAGGCCAATAAATATGTAAGAACTAATTGTAAATAACTGCTAAGAAAGAAAGGAACAGAGTGCTGTGAGAGGAGGGATTTATTGAATCAGCTATTCTCCATGACCCAGCTCAGATGCCAGCAGCTCCACGAATCCTGCCTTTGTCCTTTCCCATTCTCTCCTAATCATGTGGTCTTTCCCATTTTTTCAAACCATATTATACTATTATGATGATATTTGTTTTATGTCATCATAGCAGCTAATATTAGCTACTCTTGCTAATCTAATTTAAGCCCTTGTCTAATCTTTAGCATCTGGCCTAAAGGCCACTTCTCGAAGTTTGGACTATGTCTTACCTGCCTCTGTTGTACCTAGAGGATCCAGCAGGGCTCCTGGCACAAGCTAAAACTCCAGGAGTATTTGTGAAATAGAAAGAAATTTTATACTCTTCTTTGACTTTTGACAATGAAAAACTTACTCTGGCTGGAATAAACCTTTCTCACATTTATATTAGGCTATTTCTTTAGTTAGTGAATTTTTATTCATTAATTTCTTTCATGTAGTATAGATGATGAATAAATCAGGAGCAAGTTAAAATAGTGAGACTTTTAATCATGAAAACGGCCTAACATCCTATGACAAGAGGGATTCTTGGAAGAACCTGGACTAAAAGCCCTAGACCAACATCTGGAGATATTATTTTCTGCTACATTTGAAAGTACCTTCCCAGCATAAGATCCTGCTGCTGCTTATCTCATGATCTTGTCAAAAAGAATGGTCAGCTGGGTGCAGTGGCTCACACCTGTGGTTCTAGCTACTCATGAGGCTGAAGCAGGAAGATCATGTGAGTCCAGAAGTTTGATACCAGCCTGGGCAACATAGCAAGACCCTGTCTCTACAAAAAAATTAAAATATTAGACAAGGTATGGTGGTGTGTGCCAGTAGACCTGGTTACTCTGGAGGTTTATGTTGACAGAGGAGGATAGCTTGAGTCCAGCAGTTCAAGATCAGCCTGGACAACATAGTGAGACCCCATCTCAGGAAAAAAAGGTCATCATTACAACACAAAGCATCTTTTTTTTTTTAAGACAGAGTCTCACTTTGTAGCCGAGGCTGGAGTGCACTGGCATGATCTTGGCTCACTGCGACATCCACCTCCCAGGTTCAAGCAATTCTTGTGCCTTAGCCTCCTAAGAAACTGGTATTACAGGTGCCTGCCACCATACCTGGTCAATTTTTCTATTTTTAGTAGAGATGGGGTTTCACCACGTTGATCAGGCTGGTCTCGAACTCCTGACCTCAAATGATCCACCTCCCTTGGCCTCTCAACGTGCTGGGATTACAGGCGTGAGTTACTGCCCCCAGCCAACACAGAGCATCTTAATGGCTCTTCCTGGCAGCACAAACCCTTTGCTGAAAGGAAAACATTTAGGTTACACCCAGATTGAAAGTAAACAATACAGTAAAGAAAATGTGTCAGCTTACATAACTGAAAAACCCAGAGATAAAGGTACCTTAGATGAGGCTTTGTCTAATGTCTCAAAGATATCCCCAAAACCTGAGTTCTTTCATCTCTTCCCGTCAGCTTCATCCTAAAGCTGGCTCTACTCCTACTCCCAAGATGGCTGCTCACAGCTCCATCTTGGATTCATATACTTTTGTTTTTTGTGTGTGTGGTAGAGAGAGCTACTTTGTTTCAGCATTCCCAGGAAAGCATTTACAATCACTGGACTGCTCACTTCAGGCATCTACCCTTGATTCTATTGCTCTAGTCAAGGAGATAGGATGTGATCATCCGCTTGGCCTATGCTGTCTATTCTACCCCTAAATGGCATGCAGTGAGGTCAGCTTCCACAAAATTTTGTTGATCCCCAAAAGAAAACTAGGGGCTGCTGGGAAGAGGGAAAAAGGAAATAGATGCTGGCAAGATATCTCCTAAATGCTGAATCTACAGTCTTGGTCAGCCTCAGTCTGTGAAGCCCACCTATTCAGCTGGGTAGGATCACTCATTCATATTAGTCAGAGAAAAGAACAGCATGGACTTTCTCCACCCCTTCTGAAAATGGCATCATACTCTGAAAATAAAAACGAGCTTTGCTTTGGTATTTGTTCTGCTCAGAGGAAGCATGTTATGGTCTAACAGAGTCAGCACTTTTAAATAAAATTATTTTTATTCTAAAACTGTGAAATCCTTATGAATAAGTGGAAGGCAAGTGACAATATAGACAGTCTTAAGTATTAAATTTCCTAGTAGAATGTTGACATTTTATCTCGTGTTCAAGGGGAAATGACTTGAGAGAACTTTAGGGAGAAGACTGTCATTTGTTTCCACTAATTTTGAGCAGGTGAGAGCTGCTAGAGAATCTACTCGATATTTCCTATTATCTTTCTCTTTTTCCTCTTCCTCCATTCATCTTTCAGAATGACGCTGCACGCGTGCACACACACACACACGCACATACACACACACACACACACGCATGCACTTTTTCTTCTTTCTTTCTCTGCCCTTTTCCTCTTTCTATTTTTTTCCTCTACCCCCTCTCATTCTTTCTTCCCTCCATCAAATACCCTTTACTCTTTTTTTCTTCTCTCTCTTCTCTCTCGTTTTTCACTCTTCCTCTTTCAATGGGTCCCAATAGGCGGATTCATTTAGTTTGAGAAAAAAAGTTAATTTTTCTTCATCAATATCATGAAAACAAGCGCAAAACTCATGACCATGATTTAGGTCTGCTTTGGGGAGAGCTACCCCTACTCCTCTGTGGCCTCCAAGATGCATCAGAGGACAAAGTTTGAGCTGTCTGGTAACAAATTCACTGGTTTTACCAAAACATTCTGCGTTAGCTATTGAAGGAGAGAAACTCCAATCTGTTTCCTGGTGAGCACTACAGTGTGACTCTTATCTCCCTAATCCTCACACCACCCGTGAGAGCTAAGAAGGCAGCTTAGTTTTCTCACTCCCATTTCAGAGTCTCGAAGAACCAGTAAGTGCAGGCAGTAACAGTGTGATAGAATGACCAGATTTTTAGACTTAGGGTATTATTGTCTTTACTTCTAGCTGATTTTTCAACTCTGACATTTTCTCAGAGTAGCAAGAAATCTCTTTCCCAAATAACTTTATCCATTAACTGTTAGCGTTATCAAGAAGGACGGCTCACAAACTAGAGACAATGACATTAAAGTCAATAAGATGCAGCAACTCATGCTTATAGCATAAAGGCATTATGCTTTGGGGTCAGCCTAAGCCAAATAGAGCCCTCAAATAAATAAAGGAAATTCAGTGCATATTTCCTTAGGGGACCTGCTACTATAAAAATGTTTTGATATGAAGTTTTAAAATAGCTATTTGTAGTTATCAAATGCCCTGGTGTGGGGGATAGCGCTGAGATTAATGCCTGAAGTTCTTGTAAGATAAATAGTGTAAAAGTCTTGACCAACGTTTTCAAAATAAATGCATAATCACTTATGGTAAAGAAAAAAAATCCGTCCCTGGAAAGATAATTTAGTACGTAGAGCTTGCTTACAAAAGATGGGAGATTAATGACTTGTGCTGTTTTCCAGTGTAGTTTTAGGTGGTGGTCTCATAATGATAGACAAACATGCTATTTTCTGATACTGAAGGATTTGCATACAATCATCAGCTAATGTTCTTCAAGTTTTTTTTGTTTTGTTTTGTAATTCTGCATAGCTATGGTGCCATTTGCACTAATGGGAGGATTGATATTGTAGTACAGTCAACCTTTAACAAACATACATTGAATGCTTGCTCATTTGTCAACATGCTGTATGTCTGGCATTGGGCCAGTATAGTTCCTGTCCTCAAGGATCTCACGGTTTCATGAAAAAAGCATTCATTTAAATAATTTAAGAACAATTAGCTAATCTCTATATTGAGGAACGTGCAATATATGAGGGGAGATAGAAGAGGGGAATTAAGGTTCTATGATGAAGCATGGGAAGACTTCATAGAGAAGGTAGCTTTTGAGATGGAACTTGAAGAATGAATAAGAACAAAGAGAAGTGAAGAGAACTGCTGCTCCGACAGTGAGAATATCACAGGCCAAGACATGGAGGTGTGGCACAATTTGGCCTACGTAAGGAGCCGCTAGTAGTTTATTACTGCTGGAAAAGAAAATATGAGAGTAGTAAGAGAAGATGCAGTACCATCAGGAATCTGTAGACAAATCACAGAAATTCATTTTATGCCATGCTTCAGAATGTAGTTTTTATTGCATGGGCCATAGAGCGTCATTGAGGAATTTTATGTAACATGATCAGCTTCGATTAGAAAGTGTACAAAATAAACTGGGAGAGAACATCTTAGAAGCAGAAAACTTAGTCACTAAGCTACTGCAGTATTCCAGGCAAGGGATGCTGAAAATCTGAAACATTCTAATGAACAGAGATAGTAGGGCTAGAATAGAAGAGAAAGACATAAGGTATATTTAGGAAATAGAATCAACAGTAGCTATTAATTGATTAGATGTGAGTAGAAAGGAAAGAGAAACAAATCTACAAATAACTCTCAGGATTTTTGCTTGGGCATTGGGGTAGATGGAAGGTGGTATCACTCATTGTAATAAGAAAAATGGAAAAAGCAGTGAGTTTGGGGAGTAGTAATTCTGAAACATTTTCACCTTGAGATCCATTTGAGATATCCAAGTGGAGTTGTCTGATAGGCAAGACTCTTCTTTCAAGACTCAAAAACAAGTCTGAGCTAGAGATATTATTGAAGCTTTGAATGTGAATGCCAGAGGGAATGTTTACAGTAAGACATAAAGAGGTTTGAACATAGAATCTTAGAGAACTCCATCTCTTAAAGGTCAGAAAGACAGCCAGAGAAATCAGGCAAGAGAGAGAAATAAAAGGTATCCAAATAGGAAAAGAGGAAATCAAACTATCTCTCTTTGCAGATGATAGAATTCTATACCTGGAAATCCCATGGTCTCTGCCCAAAGGCTCCCAGATCCAATAAACAACTTGAGCAAAGTTTCAGGATACAAAATTAATGTCCATGAATCAGTAGTGTATCTATACACCAAGCTGAGAGCCAAATCAAGGATGCAATCTCACTCACAATAGCCACAAAAAGAATAAAACACCTAGAAATACAGCCAACAAGGAAGCTGAAAGATCTCTACAAAGAGAATTACAAAAAAAAACTGCTGAAAGAAATCAGAGACAACACAAACAAATGGAAAAATATTCCATGGTTGTAGATAGGAAGAATCAATATTGTTAAAATGACCATACTGCCCAAACCAATTTACAGACTCAATGCTATTCCTATCAAACTACCAACAATTTTTACAGAATTAGAAAAAGCTATACTAAAATTTATGTGGAACCAAAAAAGAGCCTGACTAGCCAAAGCAATCTTAAGCAAAAAGCACAAAGCCAGAGGCATCACATTACCTGACTTCAAGCAATACAGCAAGCCTACAGTAACTAAAACATCTTGGTACTGATACAAATACAGACACATCGACCAATGAAACAGAGTAGAGAACCCAGAAATAAAGCCACACGTCTACAACCATCTGATCTTTACAAAGTCAGCAATAACAAGCAATAGAGAAAGACTCTCCATTCATAAACAGCACTGAGTTAACTGGCTTGCCATATGCAGAAGATTGAAACTTGACCCCTTTCTTTCACCATATACAAAAATAAACCCAAATACCATTTGACCCAGCAATCCCATTACTGGGTATATAACCAAAAGAATAAAAATCATTCTATTACAAAGATACATGCACACATATGTTCATTGCAGCACTATTCACAATAGCAAAGACATGGAATCAGCCCAAATTCCCATCAATGATAGACTGGATAAAGAAAATGTGGTACATATACACCATGGAATACTATGCAGCCATTAAAAGGAATGAGGTTAGGTCCTTTGCAGGGACATGGATGGAGCTGAAAGCCATTATCCTCAGCAAACTAGCCCAGTAACAGAAAACCAAACACTGTATGTTCTCACTTATAAGTGGGAGCTGAATGAGAACACATGGACACATGGAGGGGAACAACACACACTGGGGTCTTTCAGGGTGAGGGGGAAGGGAGCATCAGGAAGAATAGCTAATGGATGCTGGGCTTAATACCTAGCTGATAGGATGATCAGTGCAGGAAACCACCATGGTACATGTTTACCTGTGTACCATGTCTGCATATCCTGCACACGTACCCTTGAACTTATAATGAAAGTTGGAAGAATTTTTTAAAATAATAAAAATCAACTCAAGACAGATTAAAGACTTAAATATAAAACCTAAAACTATAAAAACCCTAGAAGAAAACCTAGGGAATACCATTCTGGACATAGGCCCTGACACAGATTTTACTACAAAGACTCCAAAAGCAATTGAGACAGAAACAAAAATTGACAAATGGGACCTAATTAA